AGAAAGCTCTCTAATTTTACTAAATCAAAATGATTGTGTTGCTTCAGGTTCATTTAATTTAAGTCATACATGGTTACCTATGCTAAAATCTGAAGTAGACCAGAGAAACATACACCCAAACTAAATTTTCACCAAAATTATTAATTAATATTACCTTTATTAATTTAAACAATGAGATTAAGTCAAAGTCACATAACTGACAATTTGCACAGACGAATTATCAGAGCGAATTTTCATATACTGTATTATCCTACTATTGTTACACAATTTATTAACATACTCTTTTTTAGGTTCATTTAGGTTCTTTTGATAACGATAGCAGAAAATAGCTATCGAAACGTCAAGGTAATTTTTCAAATTAATTTCTTTACTAATTGGAATGTTCTCTTACAGCTTGAGCCTAAGTGTGTCGCAGGATACCCTCTAGGTGATAGTTCTTGATTACTTTTTGATAATTAATCCGTTCTTATTGCAAAATAGGAGCACTTTGTATCAATCTGCAATAAAAGACGTGAGGAAATTCTGTCCTTTTTAAAGACAAAAATTTTTGAGGCGAAATACCCAACAAGAAGTTTGTAAAATAATGTTGTTTTATTTGAAAAACAATCCTTCCAATTGTTATGTGGGGAAGAAATCATGATATTATCGTTTATTAAAATCGTCTGCATACAAATAAGTACAGCCCTGTTAAAAGTTGTAACTGCAATATTTCAGAAACGAAAAGAAAATGGCAACTTTCTCGAATTAATTTCTATAAAAACTAGAACCTAACGTATATACTACTAGCTAATTTACCCACATTTCTCTTCATCTGTTACATCTTTATCTTTACTACTCAAGAAGTTAAGAGAGGTATTTTCATCTGAATCCATTCTATTTTCCACATTGCTTACTGCTAAATCCAATTTCCTTTGTTATTCAATTTGACGCCCAGTTAAAGGAAATCTCAGCCCCACAAAAATTTCGACCCGTCATAAATCAGCCAGGCAAGCCTGAAAAGAACTCGGGGATGAAAAATTTACGACATCCTGACTCAACAAGTGTTGCATTCGCTGTTAAAATGTGCATTGAATTAGAATAAAAATTCGAAATAAAGGCTCGAAATGCAGACGATGCGGATTGTATATGATATGCCTTCGAAACTTGCAAATTCCTATTCCCATAGAAAGTGTTTCGTTGGCTTTCATTTCAAAGGCATGAGCTTCAACGGGTCCTAAAATATTCATAATTCGTTAAAAACCACCAAGAAATTTATTTTGTCTTTCCTCCATTGGGTTGAGTACTTAAATTTTTGTTCGCCAATTCAGATATGAAATCTTCAAATGTTTCATTCATTATTTGACTTTCTAATTAGGGAAGCGAGACCGCTTTAAAGCACAACAAGCATCAGACTCCCAGGTCCAAGTAGTTAAATACACATATTGACACCAAATATTCTTTCCAAAAACCTACAATAAATAAAATCTGGTAAAATCGTTGATAATCAATGGAACTTTTAAATGTAAAGTCTGCAAACTAATCTTTAGCGAAAAAACAACATTTTCCAAACTTTAATCAAGGTAAGCCCTCTTTGACAGTATCAGAAGCATTTAATTTTCAGGCTAAATTATTTCTAATTGCTCAGGGGTGTGAAACAACAAGAGAAATGGAACAAAGGGAATTGAGGCCATTAAAAGAACTTAGGTAATAAAAAACTCTATTAGCTGTGTAAAATGCCGTAGGATTATTGTTTCGTTTTTTAATTGCGATTGCAAATAAATCTTACCGGGTAATTTAAGAAATAATAAAGTCGATTAATTAAATGGTTAACGAGCTCGCTCTTAACTGAAATAAAAATGTAGATGATTATCGCAAATTCAGTCATTAAGGCAAACACATTTAATCTGATGGTATAGGGTTGCAAATAAAAAAATGGAATATTAAGTACGTCGTTGATGGCAAATAATGGAAATGCGCTGATAATAATAATAAAAAACGACAGAGTATTAGAATAAAGGAATTACATCCCGAATTGTGTAACATTTTGTCCTTTTTACTAATTTAGGGATCTTTGGTAACAGATTATAAGATTTTCTTCCTTTACCATTAGGTTATTTCACGTAACAGCTTAAATAACATCGGTTCGGACATGTAACCTGTTACAGAACCAATGTGTATGCAAATAATCATTAAGTTATTTCTATGACCGTTTTAAGTCGGCTAAACGCGTTCGTTCTTTAAGTAGTTAAGTAAAGTAACTAACAACTAGTCTATATTTGCTTTATTTTTAGCATATAATATTTTCAGTTTATTGATGTTACCATTAAATTTCTTAACGCAGAAAATCATAATTTGTAATCACTATTACTACAATCATCAAGTATTTTGCATAACAATTTATAAAGTAAGTCTGTTTATTTCATAACATGACTTGGATTCTATTCTAGAAAAATTACAGTAGGTATTGTACACGCCCATTGTCTATAAATCCAGTGAAATAGTGCAGATCCGCTTCCAAATCAGCTTCATCTTGGATGCTATTAATAAATTGGTGACCAGAAAAAATAAATCTGTTTTCTTTGGTTGGTAAAAATTACAGCTTGCATTAAACAGATAATGGAATTTATGTCCAAATAAAACCCTCTACAGAATTTGAAACAAAGTAGTTATATTAGTATATGTATGTAGTTATATGTATCAAATTTATTATTGGTTGATACCGCCACCTACTGTAAGTACTATCTTATAATGTGCTATAGATGGAAGAAGAAAAATCTGTAAAATACTGACAGAAAATGCAACAGGAAAAAATCTGTTATGTATATTATGTATAGATATATAACGATGTAAAATAAAGAAGACTTTTAACGAATTCATTTGCTCTTTTTACAGAGAATTTCCGAATGGAACATCCTAATTTCAGCAAATATGTGGAAAGTATTTTTGGATAAAAATGGCATTGGACGCCACCTCACTCAGGGAACATGAGTTAAGATAATACTTATTTCTTGGATAATTGACTTTATTCATAGGTGAACTACTCTGAGAGTAGGGACATAAATTAATGAGAATAGAGATAAAACGCAAAACATATCAATAACTTGATGGAAGATAAAAAAAAAAAATTATTTGGGATTGAATGGGATTAGAATGGATTAGTTCTTCGCTTAGGCTAAACCAAGACTTACCCACGAAAAACTGAATGAAAGTCGTAATAGGCTTATCTGATTAAAGCAAGATTAAGCTCATAAATAAAATAGTAATAAAGCAACGTTAAAAGCTTTGTTGTTGGTAGCCATTCAGTTTTAGACTTCAAACCGTGTCAAACTATATGAAATACTAACTTAAACTCAAAAATATATATTGTCGTCAAGTAGTTTCATGGATCTAGAGATCTTGCAAACTTCAAGTTATCCTTGAGACCATTGATTGGTTTGAGTGCTGGAAAGTTTCCTAAAGGCAATCTCATCAGATTGTTAAAGTAGCTTATTGGGTCATGGTAGTATCTAAATGCAAGCGACTTGGGGAAAGTTTTTAAGCTTTATCAACTATTGTCTCAACTTTTACTCGAACCATAGTAAATCTTGTCTAACTACAGCTTGCGTACATAATTGCATATCTATTGTTCCTTCACTAGAGAGGCAATAAAGTGATTTAGTATGTCATGTACTACACGTTAAAAACTTTCATATATTTTGTGAGCCGAAACTATACATATAATGATAAAATAAATTTAATTATTGCACAACTAATCAAACCAACAGAAATTATTTCTAATTTAAATATACGTTTTGGAAAAACTAATTCGTAAAACTCCTTCAAAAGTATTCGAACATCCGATAGCTTTATGTTGCTTTATGTACTTATTTAAATAAGTAAACTTAAACCCTATCAGCTGTTCAGTAATCGGTTTATCATTACTGTTCAACGGGAATCCCATATTGCATTACAAAGTAACATATCGACGAAAGCCGATCATGGAATAGCAACTTTCGAACTAACAGCCAACGTCACAAGCGAACAAGATCTCTTCGCCGAAGTTATTAAAGTTTATTCTAGTTTCTTTAATTTTCGTAAATCCAATATGCCCTTTGAGGAAACTGCATCAAATTGGATTTTCTTAGCCAGATTGAATTTCGCCCCTCTAACTTAATTAATTTGATGACTTTTTCAGGCGGCAAGACTAGATGCGGTTAATTCAGCGTTTGGGTTGGATGTATTCTTGTTAGGTTAACATGTAATTCTAAGGAAATTGCTTCGTCCTAATGAGTTTGTTGAAGAACGGATTGATCGGCTAATTTAATACAAATTGAATTAAAACAGCGAACAAATTTATCAATATATAGACGCCCGAATATTGCTGCATTAAGTATATGAGATTTTTTAAAGTTTGGGTTGGTTTCAAGAAAAAAGCATGTAATTCCAATTGAAAATTAGAACTTTTTTTAACACTACTAGACCTTAATTTAAGTCGAGACGCTTCAAAATAATGTACAGTTTTGCCAATAATTGGATCCGTAATCCTGTTCCCCAGTCACAACATTAAGCACCACAATTAAGATATGTTTTGCCATTTTCTTGCCAAGGCCCCAAAATGGTTTTTGCTGATCTCTAATCACTCTCATGCCTGGAAAGTTGCGACGGGCCTTCACTTAAGACTAAAACATTTCTTGATGATTTCTGTCGTCCCAGCTTCGAACTAAATTAAATTTCTGTGTCATTCGACCGGGCCCTCGTTTGTTTAAAGTCGGAGCTTTATGCGATGGATTATGGTTTTTGAAGCTGAAGAGTTGGCTTTTAGAAAGTTATTACGTTTTCCGGTTCCGAGAAAAAACACTTATGTGAATAGGCTTACAGCTGAAACTTCTCGCTGAAAAAGCTCATTCTGATGTTCAAATACAACACTTATGCTAATTAAATGCAAATATATACATTCTGTGTGCTAGTGGACGAATGCTATCACTGGCTTACTTAACTTATTAAAGCAATCCATATCCGGTTTTGACTATTCTGTTGAAAATAAAACAAATCTTATGTTTCTCGCACAATTTAAAAAAAAAGTAAACAGCTGAATTTTTAAATTTAAAACTTTCTATTGGCGTTTCAACCTCTTGCTCTCAGCAACTTCTGGTTCTGATTGGCACATTTGCTCTAGAACTATCGATTATGTAGAGCATCAAATTAAGCCAAATAAAATTTTGAAATATTGTTAAAAATTATAATTATTTAAATAGACCAAGTTGGACAACTTGCTAAGGGTTTACCCAATTCATTTAATACAAACTATTCACCTTTCGTCGTGATTGACAATTTACCATCTGTTTTATGACTTTTCCAAAAAAGAAAACACTAACTCAAACTGCCAATCAGAGAAAATATTTCAAAAACTGCTTACGCTGTATATTTTGCTAATAGTTAGGCTTAATTGGAAGTGATCTGCAATATTTCAGAAGAACAGTTCTGGAAAGTTGCATTAGCCCGCTTGTTCAACTTTTACATAGCGCGTTGATGTTTCACTAACTTGCAGATTTTAATGTTACTCATCAGTTTGGGGTAACTAAAGAAATGTACATAAAAAAATCACTAAAGGTAAATTTATATACAACATAAGCAATTAAGGCCCATTAGAAAGTACCGTGGAAAACTGTAAATTTATAGCTTACCAGTGAACTTTATTGTCTTCTAAACGACGACTGCAAATGAAACCAACCTACCAGATTACGAACATCTTAAACTACAGCTAAAGTGTACAAGATAAATTACGTTTTCGACTTATCAAAGCGCGATGGATTCCTTAATTTCCTCTTTGAAATTGATTTTCACACGCATCGAATATTTTCATATTAAAAATTAATGATTCAACAAAGCATACTGGGGCGCAATCGAGTTATTGTGAAAATTCCAGTGCTCACACGTTACCAGGGGCGGAAATTTTCCACTCGAAAAACCACCCTCTACGAAAATTTTCACTCCGCTTCGTTTTCGCTTGGAAGAGAATTTTTTTCCTTACCCGAATTGCAACAATGCACCTGAAATAACTTGAAGGAAATTACTTTGCCAACGCATAAACGGTGCATGATTTATACAACGTGATTTAGGCTTGGCTTCAATTCTTATTAAAAGGAAAAACTACAAATAATTTCTTACACCATTAATAGTGAAGCAAAAGGAAGGAAACCCCATAGATGACAAGAGCAAATAAATGCTGAAAAATTATTCGCATTTCTTTGAATTGAACCAGGAACTGAAGGGCCCGAGCAGTTCAGAGCAAAACAACTATTTTATCAGTGCCACATGTGGTAAGTTTTTTGTTTTATGCTATAAACTGGTGAGTGCTAATTCTATTTCTAGTAATCTAATAACACCAATTAATTAAAATCGACAATAAAAATTGATGTTCGACCGATCGCAGCTAATCAAGTTTTGTCTTCTAATGGTTTTTTTTGTCTGGCTTGACAACAACACGCAATGGATTAGCTTAGTGTGGTAGCACACAATAGATCCCGATAAATTGGCTAAAATCCAGTTTGAAATTGGAACCCGTGGCGTCCACTCCAATAAAGCGCATAATGCCTTTTACCGCCTTCATTATAGGGGTTAATTTAATTTCGTCCTCAGCCATTGTTGGTCAGAAATGAATAATCGCTTCTATGTTTCTCATCTTGTCATAAACGACCTAATAACCGTAGTGGTCGGACGTTATTTCGGGGTTTACTGCTGTAATATATGCGTCCAATGGCGAATTAATCGCATGTAAGACTTTTACCGGAGTATCAGTGGGTTTGGCTTTGATGTTTAATGGTATAATCAAGTCGTTTCGTTGTCGACAACTTGTAGGGGGATTACAACCAAAAATGCATATAACTCAAAAACCATATTTCAATTTCCGTTCAATTATCCGTTATTGGTTTTCCTATATTTGTTGTTTTTTTTAAATATTCAATCGCTTCAGTTACTAGAATATTATCTTGCGTTTTTCGGTGTCACTGACGTGTTTCTACTTATTTCTATTTCAGCGGCTTCATTTCCCTTCTCTCTTTGTCTGTTTCATATTTCAATCAAGCGTTAGTTGGCACTAAGATTTATGTTCTAATTTGTTCGCAAACTCGTTCGTTTATACTACTTCCAATTTCGGCCTGTGGTTTGAATCTTCAAGCGAATTTTGTCTTGTTTCCTGTAAATATTTTTCTATTTTCCGATTTTTCGTTCCATGTTTTTCAATTTCTTTAATTTATTTTCTTCATTGATCCGCTTGAACACCTGCGGACAAATTGCGGTAAAAAGTGACAACTTTTTTGACTTCTTTCTTATTCAGGTTTTCTGTCTTCAGTTTTTTCGTTGCCTTTCGGCTGCGTTCGTAAAACGACGTCGAATTTTCACATGGAGTGGAAGTCGAGTTTTGAAGTGGCGCTAATGTTTTTCGTCTTGGTCAATCTTTCAGCATCACTATTTCTATTCCCTCTTTGTTTGTTTCATATATTCCAGACAAGCCTTAATTAAGACTTTGATTTGCGTTCTAACTTTTTAGGAAATTTGATTGTTCTCTTGATTTTTGCTAATTTCAATGCGGGAATGACATCTTTTTATCTCTAAGCCCTTTTTATTTTCTTTTCTGTTAATGTTTTCCGTCTTTCATGTTTTTTCGATCCATGCCATTCAATTGCTTATGCTTGTTAGCTCCTGCTTGGAAATGTGTCAGAAAAACAAACTGTGAAAACGGAAAGTACTAAACGAGTGAAAATTTGTCTTCTGTGCGTTTTGGTGTATTGCTAGGTTTTTCTCATTTCGGCTTCCAGAGTTCCAATTTTAATTCCTTCTTTGTATTCCAGCTAAGCTAAATGGTACTTTTGTTTGTGTTCGTTTTTGCTGCTT